ACTCTTTCTGCAGTTCCTATAGCTGACTGCCATGTAAGCCATAGGAGTGACTGCAATGAACAGTGGGAGCAAATAAACAGGGGAGAGTAAACAGGGCAAATCTGCAAGGGAACTTGTGAGGGGCAAAAGGAAAAGGAGCAGGTTCTGGTTCTTGCTTCCTGGAACGTGAGCGAATGAGTTTGATGGTATTGACCCTGCACTCTGAGTGAGCACTTGTCTGAATTTGTGTGCTCCGATGTATGCACTGGGTCTTTGCTGATTATTTTCTGGTGGAAGAGCTGCTATTTGTACCAAGCCTGTGTCCTAACAAAGGGACAGAGCTTGCCCAGGCCAAGAAGAGCATAAATGGCTGCTCCTTCATGAATAGGGGGAAACAAACAGAAGAGTTTGCACAGGATCTTGCCAAGCAGATGCCTGACAAATACAGGAGGGATCCCAGTGCACCAGGGATTTTGCCAGGATCTTGCCTCCACAGTTTTCATTGCTGATTGCAGTGTACACCAATGAAGTGACAGTACCAGTCACTGTAAAGCAGGCACTTGCTTGAATGAAAAATGACACTGCACTGATTTCACTGGTCAAACAGCAATCTCCTAGACTTGGGAAGACAAATACACTATGAGGTACTGACTCATGGGATGGCATAATACATTGCTTGGGAAATTATCACACTGTGGCCCTGAAGCAACAGTAGGAAGTGCTGCCAGCTGTCATCAAACTTGAGGACCCTGTGATAATGCTGGGTATTTCCCAGCTGTTAAGGAAAGACTCTTGCATGAACACCCATTAGGTCAAGAAAAGGCGTTAATAACCTGTGGATCAACCACAGCTGTTGCCCATTCAGGGCTGTAGAGGGAGAGGAAGCATCAGGTAAACAAACCCAGAGGGAAAAGCTGAAAACCAGAAGAAAATGGAGTAAGCCCTAGTGATCTCCAGCTCTCCAGTGGACACATCTACACGTGCTTGAATGTGCTTTTCCCAATATGCATTAAATATAGTATCTCCAATATGAGGTACTAAATTAATGTGCATTAGGCTGCCCTAATGCACAGTAGTTCAAGCACATGCTTTTTAGGTGACACTTAATGTACAGTAGCCCATTCTACTGCGCATTAGTGTATTAGTACATTTTTTTTTTACACGCTACTTTAAGGTGCAGTAGAATAGGCTACTGTGCATTAAAGTGCACATACAGATGTGCCCAGTATCTGCTAGGATGTGGAGACAGGCATCCAGGTTCTCCCCACCTTGTTGATGGACTGTTCTCTGCTGCCCCATGTACCAAGCCTGCAGTCAGAGGCCCAGTTGCTGCACCATGAAGTGCCCAAGGTCCCCATTCCTGACCAGGTTGCACAAATACTCACGTGGCGTAGCCATAAACCGTGTTCCCCCAGGGCTCCAGTGGCTGCACCTGCGACAGTGCACACTGTGGGTTATACCTGGGGATGAAAGGAGGCGATGGTGAGAACTATGAGCAGGAGTCCAGCCTCCAGCCTCTGGACCCGGAGGCTCTGGCAGTGGGGAAGGCAACAGCAGATAGAGCCGAGGTTTGCTGCTACTAAGGGAAGATATCACCTCATTTTTTTTGCCACAGATACATTGCCAGCAACCAAAAACAATGTTTTTTGGCAGTACAAAGATGAGGCGACAGCTCCTCCCTATGGCAGAAACTGCACTTCCCAGAATGCCCTTCACTGACATGCACCAGCACCCCTGCCACTGCTGTCCCTCCCTTCTCCCAGAGCTGGAACTGAGGGGAATGGGAAGGGGAGGTGCCTTCCCCCTTACACAGTGCCTGGGGCTTGTACTCCATCATCACCCATCCTTATTGCATTGCTCATCGCAGCTCATGGATAAGTTCACTGTGGCCACCATAGAGTGATTATGTAGCCGGGGGTCACTGGAGCATGGGTTCCTTCCCTTCCCCAGTTCAGAGACCTGATTGAGTTGCTTTCACAAGCAAGGATTTTCCTTAAGTCAGAAGAATCCTGCTGCTCCAGAAAAACAGTTCTGGGCTGTGCTCTTGCTGCAGCCAAGGATCTGGCCTGGCTTCCACTGAAGAGCATCAGAGAGAGCACACAGGCCTGGATGTAGCAGCCAGGGCTGCCCAAGAGATTAATTGAGAGGAGAACCAACACCTCTGCGCTGGCAGGCTAAGGAGAAGGCACAAGTTTCTTGTTTCACACAAAGCCAAGAGCTGACAGGCTGCTTACTGTTGGTGACCAGGGGCTGGTGGTGCAGGCTGAATGGGGGAAAAGGGAGTGAGGCATATGACAGCAATGTTTGTCTGGCTTCTTTATACCCTAAACAGGCTCAGAAGTGCCCATACTGTCTACTTCTAATTAAAATCAATGAATGGAGTAATTTATCTGCCCTCAGCTGCTCCAGAGTAAACACACAGGCAGCTGAAGGATTCCAGACACCAGGGAAAACAAGACGTCATGTCCCAAAATAGGATGAAGTCCTCACTGCCCCCACACATGGTGCACTGCACAGCACACTTCTAATCCAAGGCTGCCCTTAGATGCTTGGGTACAAAGCTCCTTCCAGGTGGTGACAGACAGGTATGCACAGCTATGAAAAGCCAGTTAGCAAAGTGAGGGGGTCAGGGAGAGGGGGAGCTTGAGGGGATTAGGTTTGGTTTGTTTGCACAGACTGAGGACAAGGTTCAGCTGGAACATGTTTCCTCAGAGGGACAGAACACAGGGACATCCTTGACAACAGAAAACAGAGGCAGAGCTAGCACCCAGACACTAGCACATCACCAGTTTCTCTTACTTTGAGGGACAGATCTGCAAGGTGCTGGATTTCTGCTAATACTTGGCAGGAGCTTGTATCCCTTTGATAAATCCTTTCAGAGCCATAACCCAGATGTAGGGAGGAGAAGATGGATAAGCAGACTCTAGGCCCAATTCCCCTCTCATCTGCACTTGTACAGACAGAATTCATGACCCCAAGAAAAGGAAGGCACAAAAATAGCTGCACCAGGACACCAGATTTCAGAAGGGCAGAGTTCAACCACCTTAGAGAAAAAATAGATTAGGCCCCATACATAGATGAATAACAAAGGGGAAAGGAGTTCAGAAGAGCTGTCAGTTCCTAAAGGACACAGTATTAGAGGCTCAACATCAAGCTATTCCAACAGTGACAGCTATAAAGGCACCTCTAGAATGGTGCAGGAACAACGCACCCATGCAGGGGGTTGGTTTAGATAACTGATTCTCAACCAGGGTGCTGTGGCACCCTGGGCTGCCAGAGGGTGTGAGTAGGTAAATAGGATATGAAGAAATAAGCAGAAAAAAAGGCTCAGGCTTGTCCCTCCCCGCCGGATCTCCTGCCCCCACTGCCCAGCACCTCTGTACTATGTAAATGAGTTTGAGAGTTGGAGCCACTCAATTCACACAAGTTATGGAGTGCTAAACTGTAAGTCTAAGTGGGGGGTTGTCTTATAAAAAAAATGAGGTGACTGCAAGCCAGTGTTATCCAGTTAGTAAGTTTACCTTATACTCTACCTTGAACACAGCTTCATGTCAGGGCTTGGGCAGATTAACATTATAGTGCTTTGTAGAAGAAAGGAGATTTACCACTTTCGAACATGTGTCAGGTGTAACCATTTTGTGTCTACTCCTATCTCACAGTCCCTGAAGCTAAACTATTGTAACTCATCTGATGAAGTGAACTTGGGTTTATGAAAGCTTGTGCTCTCCCTTTGTATATCTTATTTAATTTATCCTGTCTAACTCAGGGTCTTGTCACACACACAGTTGCAACAGTAACACATCATTGGAACGCTGTGTGATGTATTAGAGTTAGTATGAGTTAGGACAGGGGTTCCCAAACTGTGATACACATACCTCTCGGGGTACACAAGACATCTCTGGGGGGTACACAGGAAAAACTGTGCAATGATGGATTTAATTTTCATTATTATGATATTTGGCATTTAAGGGGTTAAATATAAAATGTATGCTGGTAAGGGTAGACGGGCAGCTGGTAGATCTGGAAGAGGGTACACAATAAGAAAAAATTTGAGAACCTCTGGGTTAGGAGACAACCCTTGCCTAAAAGGGAACAACTTTGCAAGGCCAGGACAGCACCCAACACATGCTAAACTGCTTGAACAGGCATCTCCTTGCATTTTAACGGCACTTAGGAAACATTAAGTTAAACATATGAAACCACCCTCAAACCTGCTTCATTCAGGAGTTAGCTGTCTTGGTTCAACTTTCACTTACTGCAAAATGGTGGAGACAGATGAAACATTACACTGGATTCTGCTGACCTGTAGTTAGCCCTTCCTCTTTGAAAGTAGTACAATTGTTTCATTAGAGTGCTGTGCTAGCTGTTGGGTTTGGGTCGGGGTGTCACTTAAAGAAAGCAGGTTGTGGGGGAAGCCCCACTGAAACCAGTGGAAGTTATGCTACTTGATTTCATCCCCAAATTCTTTTCCCAGTTCTTCCAGAAGAGACCTTGTACAACCACTGTTTCTCCTTCTGTGAAATGAATTGAAGAGCTGGTATTTGCCTCCTTTCCAGGGACCAGAGGAAGGAATACAAGGCTTTCCTAAGTAATAAATGGCTTACAATATGCAGAAGTAGTAACACTGTCAGTCAAAGATGGGAGAGTCAAAGTCCCCCAGCTCCCACTCCAATGCACTTTTCCCTGGGCTCCATGGTATTTTATGGGCGTGAAGCATTTTGCCATCTGGGTCAATTCTGGCCTCAGTCTGCTTCAGGAAGCCCACTGCAGATGCAACGATTGAAACATTTTAGCAACAAGCTTCAGGGAAGCTCAGTTGTAGGGGTGTCAAAAATTCAGCATACAGGGCTTGTTGCCACAGCTGCTGGAGCCACGGTGTTGGCATGGGCCAGCACCCAGGAGGTTAACATTGCCACAACCACCCATCTTGCCTGTTGCAAAATTTCTCGTTTTCAGTTGCTGTGAGTGACTAAAATTGACAGCTGCTGGCAATGGGATTAGGAGGGCAAACAGTGGTGGCATTGACCTCCTAGGGGCTGACCACACACCACAGGTCCAAGAGAAGCTTTGTAGGCTGAATGACACCCCCTGGCTATGCCCCGCTCCCTGGCTACTGACAAGAGATATGGCTTGCTAGCTCATTTGAGATCGACACCCCTGCTCTATTTGCAGTTGTAGAAGTGGTAATATTTTGGAGCTTACAACCTGGTCAGATCTAGACAGATTCACATGGAGAGCGCAAAACACCACTCCCTGCCCCAGTTCCCCACCCTCAACCCTTGACAACCATCCTGTCCCTGCTCCAAAGCATGACGTGCTGAACTCTTCAAAGAAATGGCTGTAAAAATGTGTTGATGTGGTTTTAAACCACCTATTTTCTCCTGCCTCATTCTCAGAAATACCTGACCTGTTTTCACTGAAACGTAAAATAAAAATATCAGTTTGAGACAGAAGCTAGCACAGAAAAAAAAACCCAACCAGCCAAAGAGACCAAGTATGATAGGCAACTAAAATCAGGGGTCTATACAAAGTAAATGATAAGCAGCCTCAGTAAAACAGCAAGGTCTTCCCAGGAACTCCAGTCTCAGCCACAGAATCCAAGCAATGCTGCCTGAAACCAGTGAAAGAGAAAGGCACGAAATGCTGCATCATATTCAATGTACAAGTCTAATTTCTCCACAAAGTGCTTAGATAGCATGGTGAGGTGACAGCCACTACAGAAAATCCAATGCTAGAATGCCATGGAGTACCTGCCTCATACCCAAGCCAAGGCAGAACTGGGAAATGACCAGAGGATGAATGGGTGGAACCCAGTGCCAGTAAGATGATGACACATCCAACAGGTTACACAGGCACAATTATCCATCCATGGAAAAATAACCCCCACACCCAGCAGGCTTTGCCTTTTTGCTGGAAGCTGTAATGTGTGCTGTGGAATTTATTTTTGCAACACCGCAGGAATCTAAGTGTCAGGGGAGCACACAATGGCACAGGAATCTAAGTGTACACAATAGGTATCTAAGTGCTCAGAGCAGCATACACACTACCACAGTAATCAAAGTGTGTGAATAACACAGGAATCTGAGTGAGTAGTACAGTGTGCATAGCACCACAAGGATCAAAATGTAGAGTAGCACACATCTCCACAGGAACGTTGTGTGTTTGGAGCAGCACACACAATGCCATGGGAATCTGAATGTGCAGAGTAAGCCAAACATCATCATAGGAATGTGTATATACCACTATGCACAACAGCACAGGAATGTGACTAATCTGTGTACCAGGTCGTGACTGCTTCCAGGTTGAGAGCTAGCTTAAAATGGATGGAAGGCTATTCATTTCACCAGCCAGCATATTCTGGCTGCTGTGTGCTGGCCTGCACAGGGCTGCTGGAAAGCAGTGAAGGAATCAGTCAACTAGGCCTTGTTATGTCATGCCTGGAAAAATATGAAAAAGAAATCTAGTACATCTTGAAAGCTGGATTTGACTTAACCCAGGGTGTAAATCCTGAAATGCACCAATCCAAACAGCAGAGTTAGTACTGTCAGGAAAGATGGGGGCTCAGCAATGCAACCAGATTCTAGCGTTCGTAAGGAAATCAGTATTTGCCTGCATGGTCTCTATTTCTTTGGGGTCTCAGCCCTGGGAACTGGTATCAACCAGAACAGCTCTAGCCCCCTGAAGCAGCTTCCCCCACTCCAACTAGGTGCTTGATGTAGTGTCTGCAACTTGCTCTCCTGCTTGGAGTTTTCAGAACAGGGGAGTTGGACCCAAAAGACCTGATTTGGGTCATGGCTCAGTAAGGTACTTAAGCACGCAGCAGCAGGCTCCATAGAGTCAGCTGGAGTGGTCTGGTCAGGATATCATTAATCATACAACTAGACTTGAATGCCTACTGTTCAGCACGCCCCTAAGAACCTTGCTGAACTGCAGCCAGAGGCAGAGGTTCTTCCCCTGATTCCCTCTGGATTTTGACTACTACAATTCCAACCCTCCTGACCCTGGGGAATGGTGCAAGTGGAAGTGAAGAGAGGTGTTCCTACCATTTCCGACAGGTGTCCAGCAAGATGAGATTGAGAGCTGTCTGTCTCTGCTGCATCTTATGTAGTATCCTCTGCACGCTTATGCAGTTCTCAGGGGCATAGGGCTGTGGAGCATCAATAGGAACCATGTAGTTTCTCCCCGAATGTTCATATCCATGCCCGGCGTAGTAGAATATGGCTGTAAACCACAAACCGGGGAGAGTTACTGGAAAGAGGGTCACCACTTGGCCAGAACACTCTGATGGCAAGCCTACCTTCCCCCAGTCATGCAGGTGAGAAGCACCATTACATATCTCCCTCTTCACAGAGGAAGGGCTCTGTTCCTCCTGTAGGCAGAGGGACCTTACCCTACAGATCACAACCTGAGACAAGCCTGTCATAACAGTAAGCTGTATCTGTCCTTTTTGCCGCCTCTCATCATTGCCGCTTACACCTGGAAGCAGTCACACCCAAACATTTTATTCCTCAGTTTAGCAGAACTTCTGGAGCGTTAGGCTGGGGCTTGAATAGCTGCTCCTGAACACAAGGGAGCTGTTTCCTGGTATGTCCCTATCCTGCCTTCCAGCACTGCATGGATAATAATTGCTTTAAACTCCATGTTCAGCTAGGTGGCTACCCTCAGAAGAGGATTTGGGCTCTGGATCCCAAGTGAGTGGAGGTACCTCAGCTCCACAGAGGAAGAGTGGGAGTTCAGACACACTTCGGCCCTCAGCCAGTCCTTCTGGTCAGCTCTAGATGGTCCTTCACTCAATGTTTGGATTATGGTATACTGCTTTTCCTAAATGCCAAGTTCTTCCCATTGACTGCACAGGGAGCTGAGATGCCCAAACCTGTGTCTTTGCAGATGGCAGATACCCAGTTCTTAGGCATTCTAACACCTAAAGTTGGATCCACCTCAGAAGTCCATCTGGATCTCATCCAAACTCCACAACTTGATGTTTGCGTACTATGGTTCTCTTTAGGCAATCATAGCCAGGGCTAGCAGGACTGCCTATGATCAAGGTTATCCAACTCTTCAAATTCTAGGGCCCTTTATAATTAGCTAGCTTTTACTTGTGTGGACTGAAACTTGTCAGGCTGAACCTTTTAAAAAACATTCAGATAAAATGGTTCAGCCACTTGTGAGAATGAACCCAAGGAAAAATATGTTTGCCCACATTAAAAACACTCTTACAACCATGTTGCAGAGAAGCCCAGTTGCTCCCATGTTCTGGAGGAAAAACTTGAAATCTGACAGGAAGTAGCTTTTGAACAGGAGAGGTGTCTTTTGTTTGTCTCGTAAAAAATTATTCAAATGTGTATGGTTATAAGCATTTGAGAAAACTCAACTCTCATCAGCTCAGAAGAGGCACATTGCAAGTTTAGAAACTAAACTCTAAGATTCTGCTTATAATCAGGCATAGTCCATCACTCTCAGCTCCTACATGCCAACCAGATTGCAGATCCCAAGCCTACTGACAACCCACAAAGGAGATCAGGATAGTTCCATGGATGAAAATCTTGTTTTCAGTTTTTTAGGTTTTAAAAAACACTGTAAATTATATTTTTAAAACCCTATATTTTAAGAAGATTAAGACTGCAAAGCCAAACACCCAGAATGTTTTCAGCTTTTCAGTTTGCATTACATTGTTAGACTCATATTAAATAATACAAACAATAATGGATGCAAGAACTATAATTAAAACTATGCTAAAATGTTAAGTTTGCAAAGCCAAGCACTTGAAGTTAGGAAATGCCAGAATTATAACAGCCTGTACAACTGTAATTTGGCTCCCTTGTGCATTATGATACCATCTGCAAACACACAAGGATATCTATTTTTCCACAGGCTTCCTGCCTCATTTTGTCCTTATCTGCCACTGGTGCCTCTTGGACTCCCACCTCATTTGTTGCTGATGTTGAAAGGTGCGGAGTGAGAGACAGGGTACTGCCAAGAAAGAGAGGTGGCTTTGCAGTAAACAGAGCTGAATGCCACCTCAGGGAATTGGATTCTTTTCCTGTGTGATACCAGCAAATCTCGTAAACCACCGTTTTCACAGGTGCCCATTAACTTTGCTTTCCTCATTTTCTGGGGTCTGCTTTGAAACACCTGGGGTCCGATTTGCAATAGTGCTGAGTATTCACACGTTGCAGATGAACTCAGTGGGAGCTATGCTTTGAGCAGATGAAGAGCTATAAAAATGCTAAGTACTCTGAAGAATCAGGCCCTAGGCATCTCAGATTAAGGCAGCCAAGTTCAGTCAGCACTTTTGGCCTTAATTTGTGTGACTTAGTTCTCTGTCTATAAAACGTAGATCATCATAACCCCTCACATCACAGGAATGTTATGACGATGAGCGTACCACAAAGTAGCCTTCAGGGAAACTAATCATTCTGGACCCAGTGCAAGGCTTGGAAGGGGGAGTAAATATCACACAGGGCCATACCCTGGATGAGACGGGTAAAATGAATTGCTGCAAAACTACTCATTCAGTGGCCACTGCTCATCTCATGCACTGAATGAAGCACAAGTCCTCTATCTAAAATAGCATACGATCGGGTCGACTACATCACAGTGCGTGCACCAGAGGACCAAATGAAAGGGGCACAGGCCATTTCAGTTCTGGCACTGCTTTACTTCTGAGTGGTTGGCTTTGCAAACTTACTATGCTTTTAACATGTTTTATTTTTCCCCTTGCTGTGCAAGAGATAAATATAAATTACATTAAATAAAAGCCACTGAAATTGCCAAGTGGAGCACTCGAAGGACACACATTTACGGAGCCTGGACAACTTCAGTGCAGCCCCTTTGTGTAGATAAGGCTGCATCTAAAAAAAATGAGCCTCAAAGCTGTGATTTTAGGAACAAAAAGATATTTTTACTCTGTCTGAGTTGAAAGTCTAGCTATCCTCCAACATTATGTTTCTCAAAAAATGCTGAACTTGAGTACCAAAATATAAAAGGGAAGTGACAAGCATCTGCCAGTAAGACAGGAAATGTCCGTCTCTGGGCATGGCTGAGGGAATGTATGACTGTTATTTTCCTATGATTTCACTTAGCACACTTTGTTCTCTTTGAATTTTTAAAATGATGAATGACTCAGGTCTTTTTAGGATGGTTGAGACAGTGACTGAGGAGGCTCTTTGGCAGAAGGCAGCCCACACGGGTCCCATGTGGGGAAACCTCAGAAGGGAAGTACCCAACTCTAACCACCCAAGACGCCCAGAGAATATGCCAAAGGTGACCAAGCAGCCAGATCATCAGGTTGGTACACTGAACCAAAGAAAGAAGCCTCTTCCATGTTGTCATCTTCTGACTATGCAGTTCTGCCAGGCATGACAAAGAGGTCTGTGCTTCCTCAGCCCTTCCCGGCCCCACTGGTAGTAAGTGGTAGTGCCCCAGCAAAATGCAGTGCCTTAGATTGATGGAGCAAGCAAGCTACCTCACGCTGGTCCACAGGCCAACTGGCATCATAAAACCATGAGCTATTATTTTTAATTGTGTGCCAACTTTTAAAAGCTGAAGGAAAGCACAGAAGTCATGCCACCCATCCTGCATAACTATCAACCTAACTTTTTGGGTTATGTTTTGTTCTCCAATGTTTGTTAGCAGAATACTTCTACATCAGCGTTCTTGCACTTGTTGTTAACTCCAGTAGGTGTCTGGTAGTGAGCATGTGCCCATAAATGTACATTTGTGCCCATGTGTGTGCATGTGGGCACAAATATGAGTGCAGGTGTACTTGTGGTTACAATTCATAGAATCTATCTGAGAACAGCGCTTATAGAACAATTCCTCCAATGCCTAAAATAACTCAAGGTTAAACAACCCTGCTGTCAAAAAGGCTCCACACACCAATATTTCATGTCGTAGGAGTATAAAATTAATCCTGAGGAATCAGTTTTTTCACCTAAATGTATCAACTGAATATTAAATATAATGAGGTCTGTCATCCTGAATGGTGTAGGAATATTTCAGATAAGGTTATGCTGGGGAAGGGAGTCTGGCTATCAGCCTGCCCAAATACAGGAAGGTAGATATCTGAAGTGGCATCACAGCAGTAATCCCAACATCAGCATTGAACTGGAAGCGATCAACTGGAACTTCAGGCTATTGCCTCACATTGAGACTTCTCAGCTCCTGACCCCAAATGTAAGAGGAATTATCAGACTGCAGCCTTCCCAAATTATTGCACAAAACTAAGGATTCACCAGTTTATCTGGCCTGGTTTAATCAACCTGATAACTGGAATAATTTGATTGTTTGGTATTAACCTTTGTTTTTTAATTTGATTTGTTTATATTTTATGCTTTTGCTTAATGATTCCGTTTAATTAATGAAACATACAAGTTATGCAGTTCACTTGTTTCCTCCCCAGACATCAGGATTCCACTCAAGGAATCTCCAAAGTAAGACGGTGGTCATGGAAGTACTGGTGGTCATGGAGTTTCCACTAGTTCCAGTGGTGCCTGAACTGGAGCACTGTTGGCTTTTCAAGGAAAGCAGACTCTAGCATGCATTTTTTTTTCTGATAGTAAATGCGGGTTCTCTCTTTGAGGGCGTGGGACCATAGAGGCAAGCAGTTCAACCTAGAGACTGACCAGTTTCAGATAACTCTGAGCATTCCAGGATCCTTATGATGAAGCCTTTAATTACACAATTGCTGTGACAGAACTGGAGCCTTTTTGTAATAAACGAGGAATATTGCATAATGACCTGGTTACTGGAATGCATATTAAATGAATATATTGGTATAGAATCAAAGAATCACAGAAAGTGAGGGTTGGAAGGGACCTCAGGAGGTCATCTAGTCCAACCTCCTGCTCAAAGCAGGACCACCCCCAGCTAGATCATTCCAGCCAAGTGGAATGCTGCTTAATTTATTGGGCTGTAAGGAAAAACAAGCAGGACACAAGATAATCTACTCCTGCCAGAAGAAACACATGATGCTAGTAATAAGGATCAGGGGCCAAACTGTTAGTTTTGGAGATTTAAAATCCTCCTCAAATAGTTTTGTTCAGAAGGGACAAAACCCAGGAACAGAAAAGAACTCTGACAGTGTATAAAAAGGTCTCTCTCAAAAAAAAGGGAGTTTTCCAAAAAAACCCAGCAATGTCTACATTACCGAGATATCAGAAGAAGTGAGGTCTGGCTAGAGTATGCTGCAAGGATGGCATGGCTTTAGATAAGATAGACATGTATGTAGATGGTGTGATTTCTTAAAACGCTTTTCTCCCAAATCTCCCTTTCTGCTATTCAAAAAAGAGAAAATCCTTTGATTTAAGAAGGCTATCTGGTCAATGTACACCAGTGCTAATGGACTTCTGAAGGAAAGGTCACAGGTATGAGTATGTGGGACCAGCTCAGTGAATGTGGCCGATTCCCAGGGTGCTGTAGCCCAGGATTCAGTCAAATAGTAGGATATTAATGCGAGTCCACACCAGGAGAGGTAAAGCCATGAGGCCTGAAGACTGTGGGAGTGCACTCAGAGACCAGGAAGGGGAAAAGGTATAGCATAGCCATCCTGTCATCACACTTGCATACTCTCTATGCTACATCATCCCATGCTCAGTCAGTATGAGGACGGATAATTGACAGAATGAGGCAACTGCTCAACATCTCATATTAGCCTTAACATTTAATGTACAGCCCCGCATTATTCATTGCATCACATCCAAACCTTGTATTGAATGTGGAATGAGTAATGTGCCTTGTGGGTGTTCCAGTGATGCTGATCACCACAGTGGCAGGAACTCACACAAGTGAAAGGATTTGTCTTCCCAGCTTCCATCATTATCAGCCCCATTTCACAGATGCAGAATAGAGGAAGAGACAGCACAAAGCCAAAAAGCATCTACTAAATAAGCGTGCCCAACTAAAGACTCCCAGGATTTTTCAGAACCCTTAGCATTTTTATAGCAATTTGTACTTTCCCACTGAGGCTCCAAATGACTTCAGCTACAGTTGCAAGTGTGCGTCACTTCTCCAGACTAGGCTGCTTGTGTCTCAAGATGGGGTCCCAGAAAAAGAGGAACAGACAATTAGCGGCCAGCTGTGACAAACTGTGGCTTAAATGAGTTCCAAGACTGATACAGGAACTTTGTGGCAGAACCAGGGATAGAGTACAGTTATTCTCGGTAACCAGTAACAGCTTGAACCATGAACCGTAGTTCTCTTCCTGAAAGTCCCAACCCCTTTCAGTATATGAATATATAGGGGCAGATCCAGTGGTAGGTGTGTTGCACCCCATTTTTGATTCCCACTCCACCCAAATTTTAAAACCAACTGCCTGGGAGTAGCAGTGGCATTTATGCTTAGGCAGCGCTGAGTGAGTCAACTGATTTCATTATAAATCTGATTCCTGGTAATCTCTCTCCTCTCTATGGGTGTTAACAACCCACTCTCCTTTTTAACAGAGGAATAGCATGAGACAGACAAACTAGTTACATCAGTTAAGTTGATGCGTTCCCAAGAGTAAATCCCCTCCTTTAAAGCAATATAGGGTTACTGTGGCTGTCCACTGATTTTGATGTTCAGAGGTAGTTAGCTGCATTAGATTTCATAGATTTCGTAGACATTAGGGCTGGAAGGGACCTCAGAAGATCGAGTCCAGCCCCCTGCCCGAAGGGCAGGAAGTCAGCTGGGGTCACAGGATCCCAGCAAGATCAGCATCCAATTTATTCTTGAAGGTGTTCAATGTAGGTACTTGAACCACCTCCGATGGGAGGCTGTACCAGACCTTGGGGGCTCGGACAGTAAAGAAATTATTCCTTATGTCCAGTCTGAAACAGTCTTGCAGTAGTTTATAACTGTTTGACCTCGTCATCCCTTGGGGCGCTCTGGTGAACAAATGTTCCCCCAGATACTGATGGTCACCCCTGATAAACTTATAGGTGGCCATCAGATCACCCCTGAGTCTGCACTTTTCCAGGATAAAGAGCTCCATGGCTCTCAGCCTGTCGTCGTAAGGTCTGTTTTCCTGACCTCTGATCATGTGCGTGGCTCTTCTCTGGACACTCTCAAGCTTCTCCACATTCTTTTTGAATTGTGGAGCCCAAGACTGGATGCAGTACTCCAGCTGACAAGGAGCTGAGTTCAAGGGGAGCTGGAGCTGACAAGGCTGAGTTCAAGGGGAGAATGACGTCCCGGGATTTGCTTGAGAAGCATCTATAGATACAAGCCAGTGTTTTGGTCGCTTTACTAGCGCAGTATCACATTGCAGGCTCATGTTCATCTTGTGGTCAATGATGACCCCCAAGTCTCTTTCTTCCATAGTGCTAGCCAACATAGCACTGCCGAGCCTA